CCGCCCGCCCGCTTTCCTCCCCGTCCTGTTCTGCGTGTCCTGACAAACTGTACATAGCTGACTCCTTCCTTCTCCGAGGTGGTTTCAATGGCTTCTTGGTGTATAGAAGTTTGTCCCTTCGTAAGGATCGCCTTCCTCCCTGCCCCCAAGTGATGGGCTTTTTCCTTTTCTTTTTAGTTTACCCCGTTTCTTTTTTAAGTAACGTGGAAGAAAATGGTTTATTTTGTATCGTGGTATTGAATATTGTGTTCTTTTTTATGAGGCAACTTGATTGTAAACTTCATGCAACTATAGACTGGAAAAAAACCGTGCCAAAGTCTCCCTTCTGTTTCTGCAACACTGATCCACAGCGCGCACATCGCCGCCGCCAACGCTTGTGAATGTATTTTTCTGTTAGCTGGGTTTACGTGTGATGTTTTAGTGCTTCTGCAAGTTCAATTTGTTAGTTCCTGTATGAAAGATTGTGGGGGGGGAAATAAACGTTGTGCTGTTAGCTTTTTCCGTAATAACACCCTTCCTTCTGTAAATACCCGTTGCCATATTTATCCATTTGTAATTAAATTATGGTATTAACTTGCTACAGAGGAAACAATATTTATAAAGAATGTTTCTTAACTATAAATATGTACAATTGTGGGCATAAACTGTTTCAGATTTTTTATTTGAAGGTTTTAAGTGGTTTGATCATTTCTTGTGATATGTTTTGAGAGTAATGCATACAGAAATATAATAAAATGTGTTGAAACTGCATGAACATACTGTTTTTTTCCAGCAAAGTTATTCAAGAATATGGGGAGAAGGCAGCAGGGGGTGACAGGGGCCTGGAGCTGCTGCCTTGGGTGAATGGGAGGGCCCGTCTTGCCAGGGGAGAAGGTAGCTGTGGTGTGCATGGAGACCCAGCCAAAGGGAGCCCTTGGAGAAGAAAATCTCAAAATTATTTTCTCGACCTTTTGTTTAGTTAGCTGACAGTGAATTAAATTTTTGGAAAGCCCTCGTGAGGAATGGCGGCAGGGACCTTCACAGCTCCTAATGGCTCCATTATCTGAGGGAATGCCTTTCTTTCAGCTATTTGGACTGGATTGAAGAGCACTAAACATTTCCTTATTCTTTGTTTTCCCTCTTCCCTGCCCCCTTTCCTCTCCCTCCCTCTGAAAAGCTGAGGTACAGTTATTTTTAATTGCACATTTAAAACTGAGCTGAGTACTTTGTTCTTGAACTTGGCCCAGTGCTGGTAGTTTGCGCCCTGTTTCCACCCAGTGTTGTCTTGAAATTTTAAACAGCGTTTGCAAAGCATCCTGCTGTCTTACACAGCTACTGCACCCAATAAGCAGGATGTTCAAGAGAGGAGTGTGGCAGAGATTGGCTTTTAATTTAGGAAAGCAACAGACTGGCATAAAATAAAAAGACCCTTCAGGAAGTCCAGTGAAAATAAAAGATAAGATACAAAGACTGGAATGGCCAGGTGGAGGTTCTGGGGATACCCTACCCCCAGCTTTCTCAGGCTGGCAGCCTTACTCCCCTCCCCACCCAGAGTTTATTGGAGAATTTTCAAGCTGGAGGCTCTAAGGGAGAGGCAGTGATTCTAGTGGAAAGATAGGGTGGGGTCACCTCTTTTTAAATCCCTGAGCTGTCAGACACCTCCATTTTCCTGGGTCTCTCCGTGGCTGCCAGGCAGTCCCCGGAATCACCCTCCCACCCGGTGGTGAAAAGATTTGGGCGGCGACAGCGACACCTCCTCCGGATCGGGATCGCGGGGCGGCGCGGGGCTCGCCCCGGCCGAGCCCCACAGCGCGG